ATCGAAGCGGTCGGTGTCCTCGGCGGGGACGACCCCGCGGTAGATCCGCCGCCGGGAGATCGGCAGGACGGCGACGTCGACCGCCATCGACGCGGGCGGGCGATCGCCCCCGTGAAAGCCGCCGAGAAAGTCGGGGTTGGACGGCGCGAAGGGGATTCGGGCGTAGGGGACCCACTCCAGCGGGCTCAGCAGGCCCCCTTCCTGAGGGTCCAAGGAGGGCTGAAGATAGCGAAGAAAGCCCTCGCTCTCCTCGGCATCGGCGGCCCCCAACCACGGCGGCGGGGGGAACGACTTCGCGATGAACTTCCTTAACGCGCCCAGCACGATGTGGTGGTGCGGGAGGGGGGTGGCGGACGCGAGGGAGGCCGCGCCGCACCCTTTCCGCGCCGATTCCGGATAACACTGCAGGACGCGGGTGATGTCGAAGAAGTCGAGCAGCAGCGGCTGCCACGCCGCGTCCTTGCCGGAGATATAAAGCTGCGTGATCGGCTGCTCGGGGCTTGCGGGCTCGGACGAGGTGGGTTTCGCCTTGGGGAGCCGCGGGGGCCCTGTGATGGCGGCCCCCGGCCAACCCTTCTTCGCGAGATCGCCTTCCATGCCACTCACAGGGCCCCCGTCGTGGGTGTGCTCCATCGCGTACTCAAAGGGGAGAACCCCCTGAAGCGATCGCCGGATGACTTCCTGTGGACTCCGCATCACATATTTGGTGATGGTGTCCTTGAAGAAAGCCATATGCCGCTGTAGAAACCGAAGGGCCGCGCGTTCGACAGGCCCAAGACGATGAACCGCCTCGTCCGGGGCTTTTTGTTCGGGAGGTTGGGCCCACAGGGCGGAATCGCGGATCCGCCTCTGCGCAATCAACACGACCAGAAAGGCACGGATAAACTTCTGCAGAAAGACTTGACAAGCGTCCTGACCCAGCGTGCTGCGCCCGGATGGCGAGGCTAAAGATTTTGCCGCGGACGACGACGAATTACCCGAACTACTCGGATTGAGACCAGGGGAAAATGGAATTTTGATGGGCTCGATCGAAAGCGAAGAATCGTTAGCCCGTCGTGCGCCATTCAAACTCACCGCTTTATGCGGAATCCCGGAGAAACCCCCTGGGCTTTCGGTTGCGCGCTCCGTAGAATGCGCTTCTATGGGGGACGTTGCCGATGCGGCAAGACTAGACGATTTCTTTGGGAGGAGCCCATTCGATGCCGGAACTTCGGGTGCATCCTTGCTTTCCTCACCGCCCCAGACATTCGATATCGTGTTTTTGTAGAAGGCTTTATAAGCCACCGATCGTTTCGTCGGTGGCGAGAGCATCCCACCGCTGCCGTTTCGGTTCTTCTCCAGCAGTCGCATCCACATGGGCAGTCTTCGCTTCTTCGAGCACCGCTGTCTGAGGAGGCAGGGGGAGTCCAGCTCCATCTCGGATGCGATGGTGCTCTCGATATCGTCCTCCTCGTCGACCATCGCGGCGTGGCTGAGGAAGGGCCTCGCCATGGACCCACCCGAAGGATCGAAATCGTCAATTTTGGATAACGAAGGGGGCTGAGGCTGTAGGGCCTGCGCATTACCCGTGCTCCAATTGTTCGCATCGGATTCTTCTTCACAATCACTTTGTGGGTCATGACGACTGAGGGTTTCTGCCAGCGTGCCGTTTTTGTTGGAATGCAATTTTAGGTTCGCATTCGGGAGATGCCATGGCTGATAGAGCCACATCGAGGAAGGCCTCAATGGACCCTTTTCCGGCGTCAAGTTGTTTCCGTTGGGAGCCATAGCATCATTCCCTGCCGGTTTGACATACATGGAGTGCGATTCGACCCCGGTGTAGTTCGCAAGTGGCGGTTTGGGAAGACCTTCGTCCGGCAGTCCGGGCCGCTGCTGCTGTAAATAAAAGTCCAGATAGTCCTCATAAAAGCGTTCCGACTCGACGTTGGGGGCCGTGTAGAGCATGTGGGCCTTAGGGCCTTCGAGAAAGCTCGATCCAAAGACGTGCACCACGTGGGTCGTGCGATACCGGCGCCGTCGGAAGATCTGTCGTTGGTATCGCGCCCCGCGGCGCTTTTTATTCACACGGGAGGAATACGACATCGTCGCCGAAGGCGAAACCGGCGTCGAGGCTCGTGGGAACTCCACTCCATCGTGCGGTTGCTCGAATCGAAGCGTCGAGCAGGGAGACCGATGGCCTTCCCACACCGCCCCCGCCTCTTCCTCCCCCTTCACTTCCTCGTTGTCCTGGTGGACGACGGCGATGCCGCGCGGGGCCATCCCCGCGTGGTAAACGGGGAGATCCGCCGCCCAGGGCGTCGTCGTCGTCGTCGTCGTCGTCGCGGGGGTGAAAAAAGCGTCGGAAACGTCGCGGGCGGTGGTCGACATGAGGCGCGCGCTCCAACTCCCCCACTTCCGCCAGGGCGGCGAGATCGCGTGGGTTTTGCGCGGCGAACTCCCCCGCGGCTCCACCCGGCCGGAGGAATTTCGCGGCGTTTGAGGGCCCGGCGAGCCCCCTTCCTCCGCGATGTTCGGCGTGTAGGAAAGGAGCACCACCAGCAAATCCACATTCCACGTCAGCGCGGCGAAGACAAAGGTGACGTCGTCCTCCAAAAGAAGGCCTTGGGGCTGGGGGGGGGGGAGGAAGGAGGGCTCTCGGCCCCCCCCGGACGCGCCGGCCTCGGGCGCCGCTCGCAATCCCGCAGGACTCGAGCCTCCAAATGAGGGGATCCCGTGGGATTCGCCCGGGCGCGCAGGCGGTGCAGAAGGCCAAAGGAGGGCACATAGGCCTCCGCCGACGCATGGTGCTCCATTGGGATGGCTCTTGCCCCTACAGGTCACTTGGGATTAATCAATCACTAAGGAAACTGAAAAGAAGAAGGAAAATAGAGGAACATAATATAAAAAAAAAGGGGGGGGAGGGTGAGAGGATAATACGACCATAACAGTCCCCCACAGGATTGAGGTGCCCCAATAGTCACAGACAACCCACTAGACCAACCTATAGGAGGTTTACCGACCATTTAAATCTCATTCATTCAATTTCCATCCTACTATTTTTAGTATTATTTCTTTTTTTTGAACCTGAATAAGTCTAAAAATTTTCATATATAATTGTACAACTAGAAAAACGAAGTACAAGCACACACACATATATATATATATATATATACTACTTGGAGGCAGCACTTGGCTCATACTTCCATCTTGTATTTAGCAACATGAGCACCGAATTTTGTATAGCCTTTTCTGTTTAAAGGTGATTACATATATAAATTAGCATACTATCTACAATTCTGCTTGAGTTCTCATGGATGCCATCCAGAGGTAAGCACCCCAAAGGTGTACCATACCACATGAATAGCATTGCAAGAAAACAAACACGCTAATGGAGTGAAAATATAAACATACGGATGTCAGCAGTAAAGGGATAGAGGTCATGATATATATATATATATATATATCATATGTGTGTGTGTGTGTTTGTGAAAGATGATTAAATTTTCAACTCTAAGCGTAGAATCAAAGAAGTAACCACTTTGTTATATCATTAAGGAAAAAATTTATATCGCAAGTAAGTAACGTTATGTGCCTCCGACGAGGAAAGACAAGATTGTCATTATGATGAATTAATTAGTAAAAGTTAGTTGCTCTTATTCTCTTCTCTTTTCTATTCCTTATGTGAATCAACACATTGATCTGTCATTTGTTAGAAAACATGAGAATAGAATAGATCGCCTCTCCTTTTCGATCAATTTCATAGACACACCGAAGCGTTAAGAGCGCTCTAGATTTTTTGTACACTCTATGATGATTATACGGTCGGTTTTGAAGAAAAGTGAAGCAGATGGAGAGAGTATTAGAACACTGAAAAAAATAAAGGGGTAATACTACTTTACAAAGCTCCCTTACAATGATAGCGAAGAAGAAATTAAAAATACTGTTATCGCTTACGCTACTTGTTTTAACTTCTTCGAGTATTCTTGCCCACACATTAAGCATCCCCCAGCACACTCTGTAGATGTTGTATGTGGTATATTTTACTGTATTGTATATTTCACCACTTATCGCTTGCAGAACATAAAGAAGAGTCGCGTCGATAGTGAAAACTACAATACCAGGGAACTTGGAAATAGTATTCCACCTCTAGTTTGTACCTCAAGCCGTTGTTATCGTTACCAATATGCTTATTTATCCAACCTCTTAAACCTCTTGAATGGGAATCAACGAAAATCGGCCGAAATTTTAAGATGGACAGCTCCAAGATAAATTAGAAAACAAATGGTGCAATGTCTTAAACTTAATATTGAAACATAAAGTAACACAAATGCCCACAAAATTTACAATTAATAAGC